TGGAGTTGTTCTCAACCCACTTGGTCACACTGGGATGGATTCCTCCTGGTCTTCCTTAGTGGTGTGTTTGGGAATGGTGGACCCTCAATTGCAGCATTTCATCAAGGTGGAGACACAGAAGCAGAGTTTTCAGCAGCTGGTTCACCAGATGACAGAACTTTGTTGGGGAAAGTGCATGGACAAGACTGGGCCAAAGTTGGGCAGTCGGACTGAGGCATGTTTTGTGAACTATGTTGAGCACTTCATTGATACAAGCCAGTTCATCTTAAACCGACTGGAACAGACCTGGAAAGCCAAGGCAGTTTTCTCAGAAAGCCTTTCTGACTGATCTCAGCATTACCTCATTAGAGAAGGAAGATAGCTCAAGAAATAAGGAGCTGCTGATGGGATCGTTGAAAGAAGACTTTGGGAAATTGGCTTCTACCTTTTTTGGCTTTGCAAATGTGCTGTCATCTGAGAATGCACAAAGACCAATTGTGTGCTTGTGTGGTTTGAGAGTTATATATGTATTTGGTTGTGTTTTTTTATGCTATTCTTATGGAAATAATCGACAGATGAATGGAAGACTCACCCAGAATGTATACCACTCTCTATGTGGTACTGTGCTTTTTGTCAAACTCCTATTAACTGCTTCCTATATTCTGAGAGTGGAACTGCTTTCTATAATTTGATAGTGGAACTTGTGGTGGTTATGTGCCGTGGAGTTGATTCCGACTCATAGCAACCCTGTAAATAGGTTAAAATCTGTCCTTTGTGTCAATTAATTTCAGATATCTGGGGAGATTGATATTCATATTTATATCAAAAAGGGGAGCCATGGAGTGGGAAGAATAATTTGGTATTTCAATTTTAGGCTTCCTTAGCTAGTATTCGACTGTCAGTGCTAAAAGGAAAATCTGTGAAGCATTCAAACTGTACACTTCAACTTCCTAGATTCTCTTGCTCCTTATACTATTATCTACTTAAATACTGTGATAAAGGGTGGTCTCAGGAAGCCTGAGAGTCTAAAGGCCTTTAGTTAACATAATTCCCATAACTAGATTGCCACAAGGAAGAAGTTTTCTTCCCCTGTATTTCAGGGTACAAAAAAAAATCAAAGATGTGCATAAATTAGTCATGAAAATTTAGGCCAGTCAGTAACTAACAGTGGTTACAGATAGAGGTGCATGCCTAATGTAAATCAGTACAGTTTCCATTTACTGCATTCTTTTGATTACTGATATAAAAGGTAAAAGATTCAACTCTGGAAGAAATAAAAAGACCTGTTTGGAGTTTTGGGAAGTAGGAATGTCATTTTGATGATTAAGATTCACTTGATCCAAACCATGGAATTTTTAATCACCTCATATGTGCATTAAACTTTTACTATGAATAAGAAAGACTGCTGAAAAAATAATACATTTTAATTATGGCAAAGAATATTTAAGGTATTATGGAATGCCAGAAGAACAAATCTGTCTTGGAAGAAACATAGCCATAATGTGTTTTAGAAATGAGGATGGTGAAGCTTTGACTCTTGTATTTTGGACATGTTGTCAGGAGTGACCACTCCTTGGAGAAGGACATCATGTTTGGTAAAATGGAGTTGTTGTTGTTGTTAAATGCCATCGAATAGGTTCCACCCATAGCGACCCTGAACAGGGTTTCCGAGGCTGTAAATCTTTACGGGAGCAGAAAGACTAATCTTTCTCCTGCGGAGCAGCTGGTAGTTTCGAACTGCTGACCTTGAGGTTCACAGCCCAATTCGTAACCACTACACCACTACACTACCAGAGTTCCTTTGGTAAAATGGAGAGTCCTAAAAAAAAAGAGGAAGATCCTCAGTGATATGGATTGACTCTATGGAGGTAATAACATTGGGTTCAAACATAACAATTGTGAGGATGACACAGCACTGGACAGTCATTTGTTCTGTTATACATAGGGTCACTGTGAGTCAGAACTTAGTCGGTGGCACCTAACAAACAACAATAACAATATTTCTAGAGTCATAATTTGTACATTTCATGTTCTGATTATTAATGGATATTTGTAGCTGTTTCTTCTCTCTCTCTCTCTCTTTTTTTTTTTTCCTTCTTTTTTTAATCTTCATCACTTTTTATCAGTCCCATCCAGACAGGTAGAAACAACTCAGTGGAGATCTACCTTTCCCCATACCCTCTGGAACTAGGTTCCCTATTGAAAGCTTGTAAGCCAGTCACTTCTTGCCTTTGTAGTCCCCTTCCCCCATTTTGGGTAGCCAATGT